AACTAACCATTTCTCGGATGTCCTCCGTGCGAAAGAACAAACCGGGGGAAAAGGGTCATGGCCGAGGGGCATCTATTGTTGGATGCCCCTCTCTACCGCATGAGCGCTCAGGGCCGAAGGCGGCGGCAACGACGCCACGCAGACAACCGCCAGTTGGGGAACCCAAAAATGGGTTCCCCGCAAATCGCCCGAAAACAGCGCCACGTAGCTGCACGCGTTCGGTCGCGCACCTCGGGGTACTGGAAGCCAGCTGCTTGACTGAAAACGCACGGGCCCTGTGGTGCACGCAGGCGCTGCTGTGTGCGGGGGTTTTGTGGTGCAAGGAGGCACTGAGTGTGACAGTGGTATTGCGGTGCGCACGGCCGATGCGAGATGCGACACTCGTTGTGGCGTAGACGTCCCTCATGTGCACCCGGCTGCTGCCGTGTAAGCGGGCGCAAGGGACCGTTCGCGCAGCAGTGTGCGTTATGCGGCATTCCTCAGATCGTAGCTGTTTTGGGCTCAAGATCAGCAACGCGTTTGCGCCCTCTGGCTAACCTGCCGCGTCGCTCCAGGGCGTGACATGTCCGCATACGAGGACCTGAAGACGGCGACCGAGGGTTGGTTCTGCCGCCCTCTGCCTGCCCCCATGGTAACAGCCGCTCTCCCCAAGGGCGAATTGGAGCCATTCCTTGAACTCACCAACGACTTCGGGGAGAACGAGAACCCTCTCGTTCACAACATCGATTTCAACACTGGTTACGCAGACCCGACCCCCCCCCGAACTGGACGAGCTGCACAAGGCGGCGTGGAAGGACGACGACTACCACAAACTCCCACCGCCGTTCGGCTTCAAGTCGGCGCCGCCCAGCCACATGGCCATGCAGATGTGCATCTTCGACGGCCCCGACGGCGCGAATAACATCATCAAGCATTGCATCCTGCCCAACAAGGCGAAGGCTGCCACATTCGCCAGCATGGCGCTCGGGGGCGCGAAGAAGCTCGTGTTCCAGCGCCCCAAGGCGCGCGACCAAACGAAAAAGGCGAAGGCGTTGCGGCTCAGGGTTGGGATGTTTTCCCGCGCCAAGGGAAATGAGACCTGCTTTGTTCCCGCTGCGCCCCAGCGCTTTCCCGGTCGCGCAAGGTGGGGGTCAAGGTCTGGCAGTGCGCCTTCGAGCGCTTTGGCGGGAAGCAGTTTCGGGTTTTTTCTTGTCGCCCGACGTCGAGACGGCTGCCGAGGTGAACGAATTCTACGAGCTCTCGGACGAGGATGCCAACGCGGGCTTCGAGCACATCCTGAAGAACGCGCCCCGTTCCACTGCCGATCTCAAGCAGCTGGTATGGCAGACGAAGGCGCTGCGCAAAGGCGCCCCCCCCCACGGCTGGCCCGTCGCCCTGGTTGCGAAGGCGCTGAGCGGCCTCGCGTCGGAGGGCGCGCTTGCGACGAAGGAGTTCGAGTGGAGCATCGCTCTGACGGAGGGGCACTTCAAGCCGCGGGTGCTCGACGTGATGGCGGAGATCATGGACCCGCTCGGCTCCCTCGCGCTCATTGGAGAGCAGAATTTCGGGAAGACGCTCCTGGGCCGCTCGTATCTCTTCGCGCTCTGCCGCCGAAGCGCCCGCGTCCACGGGTTGGACCCCGCGACCGTGAGCGTCCGCGTGACTCCCGAGATCGACTTCTTGCGGGGGGGGGCCCGATTCTCTCACCGTGGGCGACTTCTTGGATGATGGATCCCTCAACCAGCTGCCGTCTAAAATGGTCAAGGCACTGCTGGACGTTGGCCAGTTCGAGTCCATGCGCTGGGCGCGTTGGGGGGCCACCAAGTGGGTCAAGGGCGAGCCGCGTGCCATCGGCGACCAGATATGCGACCCCAGTGCGGTGAAGAATGACTGCTGGCCTTCCGTGAAGTTCGACGACTTCTTCAACCTCGTCAGACCAGCCTTCCACGAGAAAGCCTCCCGCGCTTGCGTCATGGCGTTCATGAGGCGCGGGGTTCCTGGTGAACACGAAGGATCACGCGTGCTGGCGCGCCCCAGGGACCCAGGAGGCCGACGCCCGGCGCAAGTCGATCTGCGGCGCGGACGAGCACTTAACCGCAGAGGGCAAGCAGCTGCACGGGCTGTGGAAGACGAGAGATCTCACGGCGCCGCCAAAGATTGAATCGTTGTTGCAGAAGGAGCAGACCTTCGTGGACAAAGCTTTCAAAGCCAGGGCAAAAACGACGGCCGCCCCTCCGCGCGCCCAGATCGCCGTGAAACGCGAAGTGGAGTCTCCCGAGACAAGGAGGTTCAGGACGTTGGCTTCCTTCTCGGGGACGCTCGACCTCGATAGCTCACCTTCCCCCGCGAAGCGGCAGGCTGTGGCGGCGTCTTCGTCGCCTGCTCCCGCCGCCCCAGCCCGCGGCGAGCTCGAGGCCGACCTCTCGCAGATGTCGGGCGCAGATGGCGTTGGCCCTGACCTGGCGGAGGAGGCGGGCGCAGCGGACTTCCTCGGGGCGGCTCCTCCGTGAGCGGACGGCCGCGCTCGCGCTTGGATGGGGGCGGGCGCCGCCGCGCCCCAGATGGGCCCTCAGCGCCCCTCAGCAGCTCGCTTATGAACATATCGGTTTCTGGACTCACGTACACGCGCCCGCGCATTTCCAACGTGCCTGTCTGAAGCGGAAACACGTCGCCCAATCGTTCTGGCCCCCTGTTCCGTCGTCGCTGTCGTCGTCGTCATCGTCGCCGCCGACGTCGCCGTCGCGACGGTCGCTGCCCCTAGTGCTTCGCCCTCATCCTTCCCGCCTGCTCGCGCATCCATGGACATGTTCGAACCTGCCGCCGCTGCCGCCATTGCCTGCGATTGTTATGCACAGCGCCCGCGCGCCGTTGCAAGTGCGATTGCCCGCAGCATTTTGGCCCACTTGTTTGAACATCTATTTCCCCCACCACCTCCCGCCGACCCTGGGCGCGACGCGCGCTGCCGCCATGTGAAACGGGCCCCAGTCCAAGTGCAGGGGCGCGCGCAGGGCGGGCAGGGGGGCGCCGCGCAAGAGGCCCGCCGCCGCGCCCACCATGCGGGAGACGTCCGCAGCCCCCATGCAGAAGCCGCCCGCGGCCCCCAAGAAGAAGGCGTCCAGCGTGCCCTACTTGCCGCCAGCGGTGCCCGAGGGTGGTCGCTTGGTGTCGACCTCGCACAAGAGCAAACGTTTCTCCGTGGAGATGCCCTCGTTTGCCGAAGTGGCGGTGATGAGCGACGCGGACGTGGACCGTGCTCTGCGCGAGGCTGGGTGCACCCCGCCCAAGACCGACCGCGCGTGCTGGAAGTGCGGATACGACATGGTTGAGCAGGAGAACGGCGGCTTCCAATGCTGGGTCAACTCGTGCCGTTGCACAATGACCGCGTGGGCATTTACACCGCTGGTGAACACGAGCCTGACAACCGCGGACTACTACAGCTGCATCTGGGCGACTGGCTGCGGGCTCGACCAGGCGCTGACTCACCACGTGACTGGCGTGTCCAGGAAGAAGGTCGAGCTGCTCATGCCGCGCGTCGCGGAGGCCGCTGCGTGGAAGTCTATGCAAGCTGCCGGCGACTTCGAGCATTCCACTGGCGAGGTGGAGATGGACGCGTTCGCCTGCTCAGCCCGCCGCGCTGGCAGCGCCACCCAGAACGCGCGCGTGGGCCGCGGGATCATGGTTGTGGATCGCGCAACTGGCGCGCGCGTGGTCTTCCCTGCGAAGGATGCGGCCGCGCCGAAGGGCGCGCCGCCTCCGCCCGAGGACGCCGAGGACTTCGCCCCTGCCATGGCGAAGATTGATCGGGGGCGCGGCCTGCTTAACACCGATGGTGCGCAGATCTACAAGAAGAACGCAACGGCCGATGGCATCCCGCACACGAGGGCCAAGCACAGCGCTAAGCAGTTCGCCAAGACCGAGAAGATCGGGATCAAGAGCTCGGGGGTGGCCTCGACCAAGATGGCCGCCAAGCGCCACGCGCAGATGAGGAAGAACAAGAAGGGCCCCATGAAGAGCAAGAAGGGCCCCATGAAGACAGCGAAGAGCCCCGAGGCCGCCGAGCGCACCAAGGGCCCCATGCAGAGCGCCAGGAGCACGAGGGGCTCCAAGACGTCCTACCTCCTGACGCGGTCCTCGACCAACATGGCAGAGGCCAACATCGGCGTCGTGAAGGGCAGCATGCGCCTGCGCAGCTACCTGGGGAAGCGCAACGAGAGCATGCGCACGCAGCCCCAGCTCTTCTACGAGAACGCGCCTGGCTTGACCCCGAGCCTGAATGTCATGGGGAAGTTCACGAAGTTTTTCCTCGACTCCTGCGACCCGTGGCAACTGTTCGGGAAAGGGAACTGGCAGGTGACCCACAAGCAGCACTGACCCTGCGGCTACGAACGATGCGTTCCATGGCGGCGCTAGGGCGCGCCGCGACTCGGCGGGTGGCCTGCTCTCTTATAAAGGGCCTGCATTCGTGCAGCACTTGATCAACGATCACATGCCCGCCTCGCATCCCCGTCGCGAAAACGAGAGCCGCCCTGCCTCGCAGCGGCGTCGGCGACGGAGGGTATCGGGGTCAAATGAAAGGGGGGGAGGGGGGGGGGGGGCGTACTACTACTACCTACCACTACTACTACTACTACTACTACTACTACTACTACTACAACTACAACTGCTACTACTTCTACGACTACTGCTACTATTACGACCACTACTTCTAGCACTACCACTACTACCGCTACTACTGCCACTACCACTACTACTACGACTACGACTACTACTACTACTACTACTACTGCTACGACTACTACTACTACGACTACTACTACGACGAGTACTGTTACGCCTACGGGTCCGATTGCGACGACGACTACTACTACTACTACTACTACTGCTACTACTAGCACTACTACCACTACCTACTACTACTACTACCACTACTACTACTACTACTACTACCACTACTGGTACATCTACTTCTACTACGATTACTACTACAACTGATGCGACGACGACTACGACGACGAGCACTACTACTACTACTACTACCACCACCACAAGCGCTACTACTACAACTACTACTACAAAAACAACTACTACTACTACTACTAATAGTACTACTACTACTACTACTACTACTACTACTACTACCACTACTACTACTACTACTACTACTACTACTAGTACTAGCAATACTACTACTACTACTACTACTACTACTACTGCAACTAGGACGACTACTGCAACCACCACGACCACTACTACTACTACTACTACTACCACTACTACTACTACTACAACTACAACTACTACTACTACTACGACTACTACTTTTACTATGACTACTGCTACGATTACTACGCTTTTCCGCGACAACAGCAACAACAACAACAACTACTACTACTACTACTACTACTGTTACTTCTCCTATGATTAGTACCACCCCTACGACGACTACCACTACTACGACCACGACTACGACCACGACTACTACCAGTACTGTTACTACTACTACCATTAGTAATACTACCACAACTACAACTACTACTACCACTACCACTACTACTACTACTACTACTACTACTACTACTACTACTACGACTACTGCTACTACTACTACTACTACTACTACGACTGCTACAAATACTTCTACTTCTACACTACTACGACTACTACTCGTACTACTAGTACTACTAGTACTACTACGACTGCTCCTACAACAACTACCACTACTACGACTACGACTACTACTACTACTACTACAACTACTATTACTACTACCACTACTGCCACCACTACGAGTACTACTACTACTACTACTGCGACGACGACGACGACTACTACTACTACAACTACTACAACTACTACAACTACCACTACTACGACTACGACTACGACTACTACTACTACTACTACTGCTGCTACTACTACTGCTACTACTACTACTACAACCGCTACTACTACTCCCACTACTGCTACCACTACAAGTACTACTACTACTACTGCTGCTACTACTACTACTACTACTACTACTTCCACGACGACAACGACGACGACGACGACGACTACTACTACTACTACTACTGCTACTGTTACTGCTATACTGGGGATGAATCAAGCGAAACCCATCCGGCGCAAGGCGCCCAGCAGGGCTGGCGAGCGCGGCCTTGTCGGGGAACCGATCGGCGCGGCTCAAAGGCCCTAAATGGCGGCGGGGGCAAGCAGTGAAAGGAAGCGAACTGGAAGAGACAGGAGGCACAAGAAGAGGTATGAACTAAGATGGATGGTATCGGTTGTCAACCACATTCTTTTTCTTTCAAAGAAAAGCAAGGAAAGTCTCGGGCAGTGCTCGCTGCGGCTTCAGCGGCCTTCTTCGCAACCTTCTCGGCTTGTCTGGCTTGCGTTTCAGCCGCCTGTCAGTAGAGAGACGCAGAATAGGACACACTTTGGAAACAGCGAACTTGCCATCGCGGTCCTTGTCCTCCCAGTCGGCGCTGTCGTTGCCAATCTGGGCGGCTGGGGCGTCGCCCCGGTCGTTGCCGTCACAGCTCAGCGTCTCGTCTGAACTGTCGATCAGACTGATGTCGGAAGACAGCCTGGGCCGCGTCTTCGGCGGCGCCAGCGGCGGCTTGGAAGAGGGAACCGGCGTCGCAACCGAAACGGCAGCTCTCTGTTCAGCGGCTCTCTTCTGGTCTTGTACTTCAAGCTGTGCTCTCGTCAAATTGGCATTCCGCCTGTCTCTGGGCTTCTTGGCAGAGATCCAGTGACCACGCAAATCCACGTTTCTGCGGTAGCGATGGTCGCTGGATTTCTCGTTCGCTGTTGGTGCGCCTGCAGCCCGAAGCTCCGAGTCGCACACCAAACGCTCAGAAAGAATGTTCTCCTTGGTCTGAGC